TGTTCTGATTATTGTACTATGTGTTTGTGTGCGCAGTACTTTATTTAAACAGTCCTTCCATTTTAAGGGAACTGAAATTGCCACGCCATTTTTTACCTCATCCACGTTTTAGCAATAAAATTTGACCAATATGCCCCTGTTTTTTTTCAATAACTGTTTTTTAAACAATGGAAAAGGTCAATTATGTAAAATAGCAAGTATGAAAACGTGGATGATGCAAAAAGAGGCGTGGCAATTTCAGCTCCCCATTTTAAATGACTACACTTTACGTCCTATGTGTATTATGCATTTGTGTACAAAAAGTATTTCTTCCGATTAACATGTATGCACTCTGCAGAAGTACAGATGCAGTGAGTTTCACTTCATCTTTAGCTAGTGTTTAACTGTTTAAGAATCTAGACTTTGAGACAGATCCATAATGTTATGCTACACCGATTTGGTTGAGCATAGCTTTAGTTTTGTTTTGCTTTGGTTATGTTAGGGATTTGTTGAGGAGTAGGTTTTATTAATCGGCTGATATGGCTTGGGTACTGATAGGCTGATTTAGAATCTTAGTCTAAGCCACAGATTGCTTAAGAGTTTAGCCATTTCTTTCGCACAGGTTTGTGGCATCGAAGGAATGGGACGGGTTCGAGCTGCAGGTACTGGTATCTCAAGGACTAGTATCCTAATGTCAGCCCCTGCTATAGAGCAAGATTCTGTTGAGAAGCAAACGTCTATGACTATTATGGAACAAGTCAAAGCCCAAGGTGAGGAAATTGCGAAGCTTCGGAAGGTAGTCATGGAATTGGAGCAAAGTGTTTCTCAAAGCTCTTATAGGCAGCCTACAGAATCTGCAAGTTCTCGCGTATGTGTTTGTTATGCTAACTCATTTTTTAATTTTATTTGAATGAATATGTGTTAGTTATCTATATTCAATTGTTTTTCATCTCCATAATGTAGACTAGACCACCATATATGGGTCCCACCTTCAAAGTACAACGAAATGATTGTCAGTTATCATGTTTTGGTGGTAGAGTTGTTGCTCATGGAAAAGTTCAGACTGTAGGGTCACTTGACACCAACGGTGACACGTATAATGTGTTAGTTGAAGATGTTCTTGACCCAAATGCCCAATTGTTCAAAGACATTGGGTCCATATCTACTCTTGGCCATATAGTACCGGGTATTACAATCATTGAGTGGCCAAAAGTGTTTACTAAATTCCTTCCTTAGTCAGGTTTGTTTTGCAAAAACTTAACTTATATAGTTATATTTATGGCTTTCGAGAAAACCATATACAGCTTGCACTTGCTCTTTGTTGATTGCTTGCATACTTTGATGTCGTCTAGGGAAGCTTAGTAAATCATGATAGTATGGATGCCTTGGCTGCTGCTGCATTACATATGGCTTTGAAGAGTTCCCAAGTGTGTAAGATCCACTTTCCTGCATTAATAATAAGTTCCTGTGCCTCTTTGTGTTATGCCAGCTGGAAAATTATGGTGAGGTTAATTTTATGAATGCCTAAAACATGCTTATGTGAAACCCACTTTCCTGCTTGTTTGACTTATTGGCTATAGTTTTTGTTCTTATTGTATCAGTAACACATATTTGAGTAATGAAAGTACTATATCTTCATAGCAAATATTGGCCCTTTACATATTCCAGGAAATTTTTATTGAAGTTTGTATTTATTTTCTCTACAAGGAAGCAGCACAATTATTTTTTCTTGAATTTTTTAATGTCTGATGTATGCTATTGGAAAATTGTGACGCATGAAATAGTGACAATCCTTGTGGCAGATCTTGTATGTCACTGTTCTGTTTTTCTGGGTTAGTGACTAAACTTCATGTAAATGAGTAAATCTATACTGTACTTGCCGAATATTCATATCATTATGGGGTGTATGCTTAATATTTTCTTTGCTCACGTCAGAGTAAAGCTAAGACCATCAATGGAATTCATTCAGAATTAGAACAGAATCTTGGGTTGTGTCCCGGTGTGACTGCTGGCATGAGAGGTGGTAATGGTGCTGTCCCAGGCACTAGGGGGTATTAGCCCAAGAGGTTTCTCCAACCGACCTGGCACTGGTGGTATGATGCCTGGAATGTCTGGAACCAGGAAGACGCCTAGTATACCAGGGATGGATAACGACAATATAATTGGGAGGTTTCTCGCACCCGAAATATGCCTGGAACTAAGATCTTTCTGGTAATATGCAGTCTCCAAGCCGTACACGTCCAGTCCCCGTTTGTTCAGGCAGCAGAGCTTGCAAGAGCCTTTTCTCTTGAATCAACCACACCAAGCCAAGCAAGTTATGGTTCTATCCTCATTAAGATGGGATCTGATGATACTTTCTTGTATTTTGGTAGTATAACTGATTTTTTTTTCCACCATTTCTCCCTCCCCCTCGGAGGTACCTTCGGAATAACAACATGAATTACATCTTTGAGTAGAACATGGCCTAGATACAACCCTGTTCTATATTAACTCAAATTTTGATTTAATGGATAATAATTTATGTAACTTCTTGCTTTGTGAGCATACATGACTTCATTTTTGCTTTTGATTGATCTGAACTATTATGATTTCGAATGACAGAGATCGGTTTAGAAGAGAATGGCTTTAAAAGACGGTGAGTTGCCAAGTGTTTATAATTGCATCAAACATTGGTGTCGAAGTATTCTTCTTCTTC